CAGGATTTTGGGTGCCGGACCCACCTTACTTGGCTTCGATTATTTTCAGGATTTTTAGGAAAGGGACACTTTCATCTCTGCATTTACAGTTGAGAAAAATACTATGGTATATAATATCGTTAACATCTTTCCTCGTATTGTTCCATGAAAATCTATGCTAAACAATCTGACTAGACATAATAGCCTTAATTTTTTTTTTTTTTTAAAGGTTTGTGTGTAAATAAAATTTATGTCAAGGGACTTTTAAGATAAAGTTGTTGAATGTGTTATACTTAGTGTAAAGATTAAAAGAGTAAAGTGTTTGGGCAATGTTTAACACTGAACATGTTTAACATTTAGTATACTAAAGTACTTGTTCTTCAAAGTGTTTGTATTTCCCTTAGGTATACCATCTAGCTGGGGTCAGACTCCGGGATCTTTGTGATCGGTTACATATCTCAGACGATGATCTCAGAAGAAAAATATGGACATGTTTTGAGCATGCTTTAATGCATCATACAGACTTAATGCGTGATCGTCATTTGGATCAACTGATGATGTGTTCGGTTTATGTTATTTGTCGGGTAATCTATTAATATCTGTACAATTATTGCAAAACATCTTTCTCTTCAAAATGTTTAAAAAATTGTACTAATTTAACTGAGTATTCAACTAAGTTCTGAAACATAAATTACATTTTTAGTATTTTTGTGTTCATCTTATATATTGAGATCAGAAAGGTAAATTATTATTATTATTTCAGTCATGTTTTGTAATATTATAGATGAGTTTTTAGTCAGTGATCATCCTGTAAATCAAAATTACAGCTTGTGTTCTAATATTACTACACCATTCACCACTCAACTGGTATCACATGCATGGCACATAAGGCTAGAATAATAAATTTTTTGATTGCTTAGTGGGGAAAATGTATGGCATAAAACTTGTGTTCCAAAGTAAAGCATTTTACCAACATTCAGTTTTAACTAGTTATGTAGTTTTTAGGTGCAAAATATAAAATAGTCTAATGTGCTCTAATATGGAAAATAAAATTTCTTTATTAATTACTGCTTGCAACTCTAGAAGCAATAATGAACATTTAATTTGATTTAAATATTGGTATCATTATTGAACAATTGAATAAGAAAGATGAACATTTATGTAGCTATAAATACTAATAAATGTAACTTTTTATGAAGGCAACAAAAGAGGACAAGTCTTTCCAGGAGATCATGAAATGCTATAGACTTCAGCCTCAAGCTGCTAGTCATGTAAGTAGAACTAGAATGTTTTTAGCTACGATATAATCTGTTTACGTAAAGTAGATGGCTTCAGGCTTAGCATTTTTAGGGAAATAATTTAAAAAAAATTTACTCAACATTTTTGTCCCTCTGTAGCAATAATGCAAGTGTTATTATTCTTAATATTTTTAATGTCTCACTATACTATTGGTGATGTTCATAAGTTGGGTGTGTGTTATCCAGGAATCACTGCTGCTTTGAAGGTATTGTAGATGAACTATAGTTAGTTTTGATGAACAATAAAAATTTATCAAACCATCCTTGTTGATCAGTTGAAGTTCCTGTACATGAGATTTTGCTATTAGTAAATACTTTAGTTGGTTGAATGAACAAATAACTATTTTCATGAAATATTGCAAATATTACTTCTCCCTAAAGATTTTAATTAAAAAATTTATTCTAGAAAATAATTAAGAAAATGAAGCATACATTGAAATATTTGTCCTTTCATTGAACAGGTTTATCGTAGTGTTCTTTTAAGTAGTAAGAAACGGCGAAACTCGGGCAGTAGTGAAAATAGTGAAAACTCTGGATCCAACTCTCCAATTCCTGGAGAAGAAGAAAAGGACAAAGGCAAGATTTTTAAAACCAACAATTATTGATGTAGGGTGGAGAATTAACATAACTATCGGCTTTATAAATTGTTGGTCCATGGTTTTGTTGTTTAGTACCTCACAATATAAGAGTCGTTATATATATATATATGTGTGTGTGTGTGAATAAATCAATACTGCAATTAATCCTACAGCTCTATTAGGATTCTTTTGGAAAATGACTGATTTCACTCAGTCTTTTTCTGATCAACTGTTTGTTTTATTAACTTGTTTTCCATAGAGCATTATCATTTTTAGCAGTTCAGTAAATTGTTTAATTCATTGGTACTTTTCACATTGTTATATGTTTATCATGAAATTGTTAATTACAAATTATTATGTATTTATTATACTTTTTGCCAACATTTACATTTTTCTAGCTTAAAAATATTTTATGTAAGCATAATTAGGCAAAATGTCTTCTTAATTTTTTTATACTTACAGAAATTCCACTCTGTGTACTTTTACGTTGTTGAGTATTGTCTTTTATTTTGATAGTTACAGTTTAATACTATTAAAATTAGGATCGGGTTATTTCTGCAGCACCTGCATTTTCTTTATTTTAGAACTTCTTTGCAGATTTAACCCTTAGTTGTTAATATTATTATTTTTACTTTAAATAAACTCATCCTTGGTTGTTCTTGTTGGTGGTTTTTGTTGTTTTTTTTTCTTTATGTAATTATTTAACTACGCTTATAGGTACCCTTTTCTGTGCATGTCATTAGGTTTCACTGAGTTACATTCAAAATGTAATTTAAGAACTTTACTATAAATGTATATTAATGAAATTAACATTATAATGTACTTATAATTCAAAGTTTTGTATTATCTAAGTTTTAACTCTCTAACTATGGGCTCAGTCCCAGGGACTGACCTCATAACCATTTTGTGCTTGGTATAGTTTTCATACTATAACTTTTAATACAGTATGCATATCTTTATGACATTTTGCAGATTACACATGCCTGTGAATTTAAACTTCATAAAAATTGTTTAGGTTTTAATTTGGTTATGCAGATTTCGAAAATAATATTAATTTTTTCTATCACGTAAGGATTTTTAAAAATTGGGAAGAAAATAACACTTACCTAGATCAAATTATTCTTTCGTTTACCACAATGAACATTTTTTTATTATTATTATTATTATATTTGTTAACAAAAATACAGAACTGAAGAAAAGGGAAGAACAGTGATGTGAAACAAATATGCATCCTCATTCATCCTGATTTTTTTTTTGTGTGAAATTTACATTGTTTAGTCTCAACTATGTGTTGTGGTCTTTCTTTTATGTATTGCATTATGATGTTTTGTGAAAATTCTGTACATGATGGAGAAAAATGGGTATTGTTTTCGGATTCAGTGTACAGGAATTACTGTAGAACATGTAAAAACTTCAAGAGAATCAAAACCAATGCAGGCTTGTGTTACCAGTAAACATTACAAGGCTTTCGTACACAAAATATCAAGGTTTTTTTTTTTTTAGTTAAGTACAAGACTTTTTCAGAATGATTTGTTCATGAATTTTTTTCTTTCCAAATGTTGACTATCCAACATGCAAAGTAATTTTGATTTTAACCCTCTCTCTCTGGCCATCCTTTACTAGGCATGTCACAAGGATTTAGTGACTTACATTCAAATTTTAATTAAATTATGTTTTGTCTATGTTATTACCAATTAGTATAACATAAAATCATAGCTAATAATCCATATTTTGATAGCATATAAGTTTTATTATAAGATGATATTTAAGAAAATCCTGAATTTACCCTTGTGTGAGAAATGTGACATATTTTCTCTAGGCATCTCCTCTTTATTTTATTTACCACCCCTCCAATGTGTACGAAATTTAATGTAAATTACTCACTATAAAATCATCATTGCTCAGTCAAATCATAATTTTTATAGCCTTCAATCTTGTTTGGTTACTGAGCCATCAAAGAGAAAATCAGACCCGTCTATCACATCATCTCTTTCAGGATTTGTTAATAGTTCTCTCTTGTGCTTAAGTTAAGAAATTAATGTATAATACTAAAATTTGAGTGATAATCTACAATTTGATACCAAACTTATTGACATACATTTATAAAAGAGTAGTTCAATAAAATTTTGAATGTAAGTTTACAAATGTGATGACATGCCATTTGACCCTTGGCAATAGGAAGACCTGTGTGTAGATAAGGTTAATTCCTTTATTTCAAAGGAAACCAGAAGAAAAGAAATATAAACTTCACTTTTGTTGTCATGTGTTTATAACTCTTAACTTTTGGTCTCTATAACTTTACTGTGCAAGAAGTACTATTCTATTTCTATGTCTAGCCAAAAACTAGGTCAGCTTGCACATCCTTACATAGGGTTAATTATTCCGTGCCACAAGAAACAAATTTTGCTATCTCCTTACAGTACCACACCCATCTTCTATAACTAGACTTGAGATTTAGATATATGTGTTTATAACAAACTGAAAGTGCTCATTTTGAACTATATAGTACTGTCTATCTTCCTAAATTATTGATGCAGGGTTATACCATTGAAGAGTTTGAAGTGTGATGACATAGCTTAGTTAGATAAATTTAAGTGTTTTTTTTTTTGTGTTATCAAGCTAGTAATACGTAATTTTTTGGTATTTCAAAATGCATCCTAAAATCTACAAAAACTAACTTGTCTACCCTCTCCATGTGCGAGGTTCAATGAAGATAATCAAGTGCAAAAGCATTTCGTAACATCATAAGTACAAGAGATCATTGTTTTCTATATATTTTTTATTTAATGTTCTATGCTTTAAGAAAAGTAGCCGAAATGTAAGAACTTATGAGTAAATAGTAATAATATAACGTGTAATATGTGGTAACCAAAATCACTTTATAGGGGAAAACTGGTGTCTGAAACATCTACTCGTTTTCTCTCGAAAGTACCTCCCTATGGTCCATGTAAATAGTAATGGCATTAGCAGTGAATCAATACATTATGACTGGCAAGTTTCTAAGTTTGTCACAAATATTCATAAGCAAACTCAGGAACAAATCTTTAGTTAAATCAGATTTTTAATTTTATTTTTTGTACAAAAGCATTGTAATGTTTTCTGATAGTCTGCAAAACTTCGTGTAGATACGCATGCATTATGAGAAGTTATAGTATGACGAATTTCATGGTTACTTTGGTGGTTAAGTGTTAAGCTCTTTGGGCCTAACCTGTAAGCATAGTTAAATCTTTTCATTCAGATGGACTCCAGTGTTAACTGGACTTGCTTTATCAGTTACCCTTAAAGCACTATTTATTAATTAATCCAACATGGATTTCTTTATAGATTCAAAGAGAACTGAGAGACTAAGCACAATACGATCCTCCAGTACTCTTCCTGTGCCTCATCCTAGCAGCCAACCACCCACACCCACAAGACTTGCAGGAACTGGGGCACATTTTGAGTTTGATGAATGGGGTGATCTCATTCAGTTTTATAACAAGGTATGAAATTTCAGTTTTTGCTTTAAAAAATTTAAATAAATTGAGAAATGTAGTATTATACACTATATTATTGTGGTGTAAAGAGTAACTGGGGATCAATGCAAGATGTTTTAAAAGAATATCCCCAAGAACTTGAGCATTTTTAAGACTAATTTTAAGTTGGTTTTATTCTGTAATAAAAATTAGTAAATACTTTTAAAATGTCTTAAGAACATACAAACTTAGTTCATGTGAATAGCCCCCCACTGGCTCAGAGGTAAGCTTGAGGTCTTGCAGAATTTAAATTTGAATAAGATTTAAACCTTGCACCAGAGTGGGGTTTACTTATAATTGCAGTTTTTCAAAATTGGAATCCAAATACTGTTTCATTTGAATGTCATATTAACAGGGATATGGAAAGTTTTGTTCTTGGTTTGTTTACAGATGGTTACAAATGCTTTTCTTCTACTTTAAAATAGCAAATTAATTTTATCAAAAATAATACAGTTGTTTGTCTAAGTGACAAGCAGTGACTTCATTAAATTTTTAAAACATTTTATATGATATCAGAGAGCACCATATCAAGAGTTATTGGTTACAAAGAACAAAATTGACAAAAGACATTCTGTAACTTATTGATTTTCAGCTTATTTTTCTCCAAAATATTATTATTATATAGTTTATATTGCATTAACCCAGCAGTGGTTTCATTTATGCAAAAATTTCCACTCTGCATGCAAAATCAATTGGATAGGGGGAAAAAAAACAAACTTGTTCTTTGTTTATTGAATGCACAAAAATGGTTAAGGGACCTAAAAGTAAGTAAGGCTCTTCTAAACCTCTTTCCATACTGGAAGGGTGTGGGATATCCCTTGTTTTTTTTATCACTTCTGATAGTGGAAATACTTAACCAAGTTACATGAAACTTAGAACCAAATGTCTTGTATGCTGTCATCAAGTTAGTTATTTTTATTGATATAAGTAACTTCTTTATGGTTTGTTTGGTTGTAATATGCATATTTAATTTTCAATTTTTCTACTAATAATTGAGTAATAATTCAGATGTGGATTATGTGAATATTTTTTTTTCTCAAATAAATTTTTTCTATTGAGATTCTATGGAAATTATTTTTTTTGTCTTTTAATTTTTATTTGTAATGCAGTATTTTTTATTGATTGTTTTGTTCCATAAATTTTTGAAAACTTTTGTGTGCTTACAACAGCGTTTCCCAAACTATGTTCCGCGGAACACTGGTGTTCCGTCCGAGATTGATAGGTGCTTGGTGAGAAAATCATGATTTTAGATTTTAATGAAATATTTAACACTTTTTGTACAATCATAACTTATTATGAAATATTTTCCTGTGTATAAGAATTAGATAATATCGATTTCACATTGAAGAAGAATTATCGAAGATGCCATATCTAAACTACATAATATCTTAGTGGAGAGATTTGTACCTAAAATATATTATAAGCATAAAAATGTAAAAATTCATTAATATGTAATTTGATTAATATTAAATGAATAATATACAAATCTAGAGGGTGCTATGCATACAACATACCCACTACACCGATATTTCATGTGTCTAGTGTTACGTAAGCTTTTTCTCAGCTGAAAAGTGTTCCGTGGCCAAAAAAAGTTTGGGGAACGCTGGCTTATAGGATTATATTACATAGTATTTATATCTAAATTTTCTTATGAACATTGTATTTCTCAGCAAAGAGCATATTTAATGTGAGCAGTATTTTTGAAAATTAAGTGAAGTTACAAAGACTGTTTACGGTAACATCCAAAACAAAATGTTTTTTTGTATGAAAAAGTACAATAACTTCTCTTTAGTTGATGGCTTATTGCTGTAAGTTATGCTTATTAATTAAATCTTTAGTAATGCTTACATAGAGCTCAAACTAAAATTCATAAAATTTAGTGCCAGTAGTTATATTATTAAGAAAACTGGGTAGCTTTTCTGAAAGCTATTAGCTGTACCCCTTTTTTTTTTATTTAGGTGTTCGTGCCAAAGCTACAGAAGTTTGCTCGCAAGTTTTCTCAGTCCATTAATGGGGTAAGTTAATTATGTTAGTGAAGTATATTCTTTAAACTAATAAAATGTATTTTGAAACCAAGGTTCTCATTTGGGTGCAACATAACCAATATTATTTTCAATAATTCTGAAGTTTTGTTTCTCTGTGCTTATGAAATAAAAGCATTAGATTAAAAATTGTCATTTACATTTTAACTTATACTGTAGGTCTCATTCTCTATTTGTTGCTAGTTTGTGAAGTGTTAGGACTTATAACACCAAAATTCAGGATTCAATTCCAGATCTCCCATAACTTCGCATTTACACTGACAAATGCAAAAAAAAAAATGCATGGTAGGAAAAAAATTCTTAAGTGTGTGTGTTAGACAGGTGAAGGTAATAACTTAAGACTGTGGAATGTGGCATTTTTAAATTTCTCTGTAATGAAAACTAAACAAATAATAATGGAGCAGTTTATCCTGTAAACAGACCATTAGAATACTATTTGATTTATACTTCTATCACAGACAGGCTACAGTTAGTTTAATTTTCAGTTTTGGGTAAAGAAGATATAAGTATATCTTAACTTTTTCCATATGGGCTCGGTTTATGTGACAATCTTTGTAACCATAAAGTTTCCATACTATAACTTTTAATATGGTACTTGCATCTTCACAAAATTTGGCAAACTTTTAATAAACATTACAAGTCTTTTGTACACAAAAAATTTTTTTTTTGATTAAATTGAATAAAGATATTGTCCATGAGTATATGGAGTCAAAGTGTTGAATGTTCTGAATGCAAAGTTATTTTCTTGTTAAGATAAAAAATACCTTTTCTCTGAAAATTTCAGATTTTATTTGCTTAACCTCTAAAACCTCCTAAAAAATATCAAACTTTTTTTTAGTAGAACTTTATATTTTGTGTTATTTTCTTTATCCTAACTATATGGACTTGAAGATCCTAAACTCAAAACACAGAAGGCCACAGGTGTAGGTGCAAAAGGCTTTTTTATGTACTATTCGAAGACTAGTAGGCATGAGAAGTGTAATAGGATGAACTGAATTCTACTGTTAGAAAGTTTTTCTTCATTATAAAGACAAGATTATTACAGATTTCAAATATATACATACTACACTCATTGAAGTGACTTTTCAAAAGTTTTATGAAAAAAAAAAAATACTAAGTAAAATCTATAGGGAGTTTAATAAGTTTACGTGTTTGATACTGATATTCCTGATGTATTGAAAATAACATGATATAGTACAGAATGTATGAAAGTGCAAAATCTGTGGACAGCTGTTTAGTCTGCATTTATGAGAATGTCATCATTACAGACCACCTTACTCTTTTACATAGTGATTAGGAAAGAAGCTGTAGATCTGAGTGGAAGGTCCGTATCATTTCACCTAAAATTGTCAGAATTTTAAAAAATTTACAATTCTTTCTTTTTCGCCAAGTGTCAAAATATAAGGCTTTTAGTTATATTCCTTAATAGTATAAATGTATATATTATGTTGTTTTTGGGCTTAGGATTCTTCTACAGTAGGTGTCTGGCTTGTTATTGATAAATTCAATGATGAATAAACAGCACACACTTTACTTGTTTTCAAATAATACATGTATATATAATCAGAACAAGTTCAAACATATGTACAACAATATCTTCACACTATAGAGATTATTGGCATATCATAAACACTATATATGTAGTTCTCTCCTTCTTGTCAAAAGTCCACTTAGGCCTATTCAAT